ACAACAAACAAAAAATAACATATATTTCAGACTTAATAATTAGTATTAGTATATATTTACTAATTATTATGTTTTTTTTATTCATTCATTATATATACTGTATCATAAATACTGGTTAATTTAATATATTATATAATTATATATTGTAAAGTAAATTACATAATAAATATTGGAAATAATTATCACATAGAAATATAGTAATATATATATCTGTAATTGAAAAACACGGAATCGTTTTATTGATTTATTTTTAATCATTCATATATTGAATGTAAAGAATCGGAATTATTATTATTATTATATTATAAATAGAACTTAGAGAGAGAGAGAGAGAGAGAGAGAGAGAGAGAGAGAGAGAGAGAGAGAGAGAGAGAGAGAGAGAGAGAGAGAGAGAGAGAGAGAGAGAGAGAGAGAGAGAGAGAGAGAGAGAGAGAGAGAGAGAGAGAGAGAGAGAGAGAGAGAGAGAGAGAGAGAGAGAGAGAGAGAGAGAGAGAGAGAGAGAGAGAGAGAGAGAGAGAGAGAGAGAGAGAGAGAGAGAGAGAGAGAGAGAGAGAGAGAGAGAGAGAGAGAGAGAGAGAGAGAGAGAGAGAGAGTTAGAAATAGAGTTTTCGGTGGACTATCGATGGACCCGATTCATGGTATTCATGGTTAGTGATACACATTTGTTGGAAACAGGACAGTGAGCCCACTATTGAACCGCCGATCCAAACTGAATACTTGCGCTCAGGCGGTGCTATGATCTTAATATTCATCGACGACAACGATGACGACGACGACGACTGGGCTAATGATTGCATTTCTTTTTGCATTCTGTCAGCCAATCCTTATATAAATACCGGTAATTATAAAGACTTTAAATAAAATCAAAAAAAAATAAATAAATAATATAATCCATACCCGTAAACATAGTGGTACCACCAGATAGTATGATATTTACATACATTTCCTTACGGAGATCGACGTCACACTTCATGATCGAGTTATATAAGGACTCGGGAATACCGGACGACGACGACGACTCCGGCCGACCCAACAATGATGGCTGGAATAGGACTTCGGGACAACGGAATCGTTCGCTGCCAACAGTGATCACCTGTCCGTCGGGTAACTCGTATGACTTGTCCATTGATGTCGTCGATGAAGATCTAGTGGCCATCTCTTGTTCAAAATCATGGGCGACATAACACAATTTTTCTTTGATGTCGCGAACAATGTCTCGCTCCGCTCGTGTGGCCAATGAATAGCCTCTTTCGGTGGTCAACATATTCACGAGATAATCAGTTAAGTCACGTCCGGCCAAATCGAGTCGTTGGATAGCGTAGGGCAGTGCGTAACCGTCATAGACGGGTAATATTTGCGAGACACCGTCACCGATGTCCACTACAATACCGGTTGTACGTCCCAAAGCGTACAACGATAGGACGGCCTGAATGGTCACATACAGGGCAGGCGTCCTAAACGTCTCGAACATAATTTCGGCCATTTTTTCGCGATTAGCTTTCGGATTCAGCGGACACTCAGTCAACAGTATCGGATGGTCTTCGGGTTTCACTTGGAGCTCATTGTTGAAGGTATGGTACCATATCTTTTCCATGTCATCCCAATTGGTAACCAATCCCCGTTCGATCGGGTAGTTTATGGCCAGTATATCTCTACGAGACTGGGCCTCATTGCCGACATACAAGTCCTTCGGATTCATTACTCCTATCATTACTCTCTGTTCACGGGGTCGGCGGCCGACAATTGTCGGAAAGACAGCACTGGGCGCGTCATTGCCAGCGAAACCAGTCGTAGAAATACCGGAGCCGTTGTCCATAACAATTGCCGCTACGTTGTTGTTGTTGTTGTCACACATATTGCTTAAAGATTTTTTTAAAAGTTTTTTTTTTAGTCAAAAAAAAACTTCGATATATTAGTTATTAATATGAATATATAAATGATTGCTACGATTGCTATCAAAAACAATATATACAGTAAAGTACATATATTGAACATGTTTTTTAGATATAGTATATATACTGTACTGTATATTGTGTGACTGGAAAAAAACTAAAAATTTGTAAAAAAAAATTATTAAACGATTAATTAGTTGATAAATAATGAAATGATTGGTATGAATATCAAACACAATATACTGTATGCACTAAACTACATATATTTTTGTATATACTGTATATATATATATATATAGTGTTATATATATATAGTGTAACTGAGAAAAAAATTTGTATTAAATTTTTATATATTTGACTACAAGTTTAGGATTTATTTTATTTTATTTAAAAAAAACTTATAAATTAGTCATATGTAAAACTAATTGTATTAATATATTAAAGTTTATGAAACTAATAGATTGAAAAACATTTTATTTTATTTTTGCTAAAATATGATAAAATAGTTAATAACCAAAAACATTACTAAATTTCAAAAAATTTTTTTTTAATATTTCATAGTATTTATTAATAAATTGACTGTAAATAATGATTTAAAAAAATTATATTTTATTAAAAGTTTGTTATCATATTTATTAAGACATTTATTAATAACATATTTAATACACACAAAAATTTTCTTATAATATTATAATAAACAGTTAATATTAAACCGTAATAATTTTTAAAAAATATTACATAAATTTAGTGATTATATCAGATTATAACTATATAATTGTATTTCAAAAATATATTCAAAATAATATATAAAAAAATTATTGATTATCTATATTATGATTGTATTGAGAATTTAAGATTAAGATTTAATTAGAAATACTTGAGACAAAACACATTGTGATAATAATTAACAGTTAATTGCATTAAACAATATGACAAATGTTACTAAAAAAAAATAATTATAAATTTTTGTTAATTTGCAATTAACTGAAAATTAAATTTAAAAAATTAGTTAATAATGTAATATATTTAGCACAAAAAAATTAATTTAAAAAAATATTAAATACATCTATTACATATTAATAATAATTATAATAATAATTGCATAATTTGTAATCAAATAATATAATATCATAATATAAGCAAAAATTATGGTAAAAATTAAATATTAATATTAAAAAAAAGTATTCAATAGATTGTATAAAATTATTGATTATTTATATAACTATATGGTTATTGTATTGATAATTGTATTTTTTTTAATTTAAGTAAATAAAAAATTGATAGAAATTAATTGTAATAATAATTAACAATTAATTGCATTAAAAAATATTTTTTTTATAATCAAAATGCAAATTGAATTTTTAAAATAATAATAATAACTAATTAATTATTTTTCGATGTTTTCTCCAATATTGTAATTTGCATTTGTATTTCTGCCATAACATTCATCAGCTCCTGTAGTCTCTCAGAGTACCTGAGCTACTGCTGTTCCTTCTTATATTCCTTGTGCTGGTTGACCATCTCTACAGCTTCGGTATCCAATAAATGGTCGGCCAGTTGACTGTCATCGTCATTGTCATCATCATTATTAATGTTGTCTAATACAGATTCATTGCAAGTCCATTGGCTATTGGTTTCCGAGTCCAATATATCGGCCGCAAAATATTTGTCTCTCAGTGCCAAAGCATTGATAATATGTTTGGTATGATTTGCGAGACCTGTCATTAGTTTTCCGGTTATTAGATCACTAGTGAATCAAAATTTTATTTAAAAAAATCAATTTAGTCATAGAATTAATGTAAAGATTTATTTATTTTTTTAAAAAATAGTGAATACCTGTTGTATTTGTTGGCAGATATGATGGCTTCGGTTATGGCTTTGGTTTGTTCAGTAAAACAGTCTCTTATTGTGTCCGATAAAGTAGTCGACAAAGTGGTCGCCAAAGTGGTCGACAAAGTGGTCGACAAAGTAGTCGACAATTCTGTTAATTTTGCAGTTAATAAATCACTAAAAAAAATTAGTTTAAAAAACATATAATTAATAAGTTAATGAAAATTTTAAAAATATCTAAAATACTTTTTGGCTGTAATGACAGCATCAGTGATGGCATCAGCGGATTGATTGGCAATAGTTTGTCCGCTATTAGCCGTTAATAACAGTGTTGTCATCTTTTCGATGATTAGATCACTGGAAGAAAATCATACAAAGTTTTAATAAAAAATTATTAGAAATTAATTTAAATTACTATACTTTGATCGGTTGATAACTTCAGTCAAATATTTAACACTTTTTGTCGATACGACGTTAATAATACTTCGGCTATAATAACCATAAAACCATACATTAGCGATGGGTTGGTCATCGGTTAGTTGGCGGTTGTCTTGCGGTTCATTGGTGTCCGTATCCGACAAATACAATGAAACCGTTTCCGTTTCAAACATATACTTTATGGCCAACTGTTGTTTAAGTTGACCGACAGTCGTTGTTTGCGTCGGCAATATATTTAACGGTATAACTAGTGATTGATTATTAACTTCCGGTTTCTGTGTTTGTTTGAGTCCAGCCAACGACATATTAACCGTCACTTGAATGGGACGGATCTCAAACCGAATACTACCCGTCCTTTTCTGTTCGTTTGTATAGTCAATATAATCAGTAAAATCAATAAACTGATCACAACTTAACCATTGATTTGTTTCGTTTGACTGATTAGTGTTGCGTATCTCTAGACTAATATCTGTTTCGTTATATCCGTCGACACATACATAGTATATATCCTTAACTCTTACCGGACCGGTGTGTCGACAAAACAGGTATTTAAAATCTTTATCATCGCTATTGTTGTTGTTGTTGGGGTCGACCTGTTTGATGTCAATCCGACAGTAATACTGACGGTTGACATCCTTTAGACAATTGTCACAACAGGACATAGTATTTGGTACGACATTAATCAAACTGTTGGCAATATTATCGAAAAACCAGGCATTTTCAATGGACATATCATCTAATAATTGACGTCTACTACGACTACTATCAGTCAAATACAATTTAATCAACCGATAGCCGTATCTATTGGCTAACTCTTGTTTTAATTGGCCAATTGTTGGGGTCTTTTTCGGTGATATACAATAATCTTTAATAATGTTTAAATCCGATTGATTGTATGGTGCTATGGATGGTGAGACAGACATTTTCATTGTAATTGATTCAACTATTATCTCAAATTGACGATTATTAACGGTCCATACAATGGGATCATTAGCTGAATATTCTTTAATAGTTTCATTAGTTGATGTATTAATTTCTCGTAAACTAAGACACAGATTTTTGTCTGTATGGACATAACCTTTAACGGCCGCACCCAATAAGGTAGACCCATATCTGGGCGCATTATAGCAACTAACGCAAAACTTATATTCAAAATCATCGCCATCACTGGCGTTGGCATCGATTTGTTTGGTTATTATTTCATATATAAAGTTTCTAATCTGACCAGTAGTACAGCTACAACAAGCAGACATTGTATGTATAGATATGTTCAGACGTATGGGACAGGTATGTGTGATGTATGTGTCGTTTCCAATCGACTAACAGTACTGTGTATTAATAAACATTTAGATAATAAAAATTATAATTACCGAAATTTTTTTGAGGTAATTACCAAACAAACAAATTATTTTTTTATAACAATAGTCAAAACAATAATAAAATTTTTGTAAATTTATAATTAAAATATATATATATATATATCAGGGTTAAGCAATGTTTTGGATTTTAGGAGGTGTCTAGGTTGGCTTGGATGGGATGATAGATTCGTTACAATTTAATAATTATGAATGAATGAGTTAAAGTTGAAATCAAATAAAACAATATATTTGATTAGAATAGCTGTTAAGCCGAAATATGCCCACAAATTTTATATTAAATTATATTATTAAATAAAAATTTACATAAAAAATATTTAAATACTCATGTAATTTTTATTATCAATTATAAATTTTAATATAATTTATGAAAATTTAATTTATTTATTTATTTGGTCTGATTATCTAAAGCGATAATAGTTGCCTAACAATATTGTTATTATCAACATTAAAATGCTCTGGATCTATGGTTGGGATCAACTTTTAATAATTAACAGATATTAATCACTATTTAGTAATATAAAAATTATATTATTTTATTATTATTACATGATTTTATTAGATTACTTTATTTATTTTTTTTTTTGATATACGGTATATCATATACGGTATAATAAAATTAAAATAAATGTATTATTACTAATACTACTGACCTTTTATTAGACAACTAATCAAAATGTATGGATAATAATGATAATAGTGTTGAATTGTCCGGTAATTGTATGGCTTATCCAATATGTGTTTGTATGTGTCTGTCTATTACACTATATGACTGTCCAGTATATACCACACCCATACTCACTAACAATAGATACTAAATATATTATAAAATATATATTATAATTAAATGATTTTTTTAATAATAAATACTATAGTTGTTTTTTATATATTGCAATATCAATAAATGATAATAATAATAATAGACGCCAACTGTACTAATACATTGATATAATATTTCATATCAGTGTATGTTATAAACAGTGTGTCTTAAACAGCGGTGGCGGCGATAATAATAATTACAATTATCTTGTCAACAAAACGTTAAATTTAAAAAAGTGATCAAGGTAGCAATGTTGTAGATAATTTTTATAAATAAATAAAATTGTAATTGATGATTTTTAAAAATTAATTATATGATTTACCAGATAATTGCAGTTCAACTATCATTTATAATTTTGTTTTAAACAGTCGACAGTAAACTATCTAGTATATAATATAATTAATTAAAAAAAATTATTAATTACAATTTTATTTTATTTTTACAATTATCTACAACATTGCCATTATTTGATCACTTTTTAATTCAACGTATTGTTGACCAGATAATTGTAATTAATAGCATCGCCGCCGCCGCCGCTGTTTAAGATTATATCTGTTATAAACTTATTGTTTTATATATAAAAATGTATTTATTTCCATATTTTTATTAAAATACAGTCACAGCTAACTAAAAACTATAGTTATATAATCAGTATTGTCGTTACAGCCAATCAAACAGGCATTAATAATACCTTTATAATAAATTATGTGATAATAAAATATTTAGATAACAATTAATTGCATAAACGATATATTTTTTTTATAACAAATGTAATAATACTTATAAAAATTTTTTTTCTTTGATAATATATTTCCTACATTTATAAGATAATATTTATAGTCATAATAATTGCATAATTAGTAATAAAATAATATAATTAAATCTTAATACAAAAATATTCAAAAGATTATATAAAAATAATTGATTATTTATATCTATATTATAATTATATTGTTAATTGTATTATTTTTTTAAATATAATTAAAATAAAAAATTGAGAAAAAAAACATAGAGATAATAATTAACAGTTAATTGCATTAAAACTATATTGTTATAACAAATGCCACTAAAAAAAATAATTATAAATTTTTGTTAATTTGCAATTAACTGAAAATTAAATTTAATAATTAGTTTATAATTTAATATATTTAGCACAAAAAAATTAATTAAAAAAATATTGAGTATATCTATTACATATTAATAATAATCATAATAATAATTGCATAATTTGTAATCAAATAGTATAATATCATAATCTGAGCAAAAATTATAGTAAAAATTAAAGATTAATATTAAAAAAAAAGTATTCAATAGATTATAAAAAAATTATTAATTATTTATAACTATATTGTGATTATATTGATAATTGTCAAACAAAAAATAAATAATTAAATCAAAAATTGAATGAAAACATTGAGATAATAATAATTAACAGTTAATTAAACATTAAATGAAATATTGTTATAATCAAAATCAAAATTAATTAAATGCAAATTATTTTTTTTAAAAAAATAAGACAAAAAAAACTAGTAATTAATTATTTTTAGATTTTTTATCCAATATTGTAATTTGCATTTGAATTTCTGCCATAGCATTCATCAGCTCCTGTAGTCTATCAGAGTCTCTGTGCTGCTGCTGCTGTTGCTGGTCAGCCACCACTACTACAGCTTCGGTATCCAATAAATGGTCGATCAATTGACTGTCATCGTTGTCGTCATCATTATTAATGGTCTCTAATTCAGATCCTATTTGATTCAGACTATCGGTATTGCTATCATTAACATTGAAAAAAACATATAAATTATTATTATTATTATTATTATATATAATATTAATTAAATAAAAAAAACTTATTATTTCATGCCTTATATCGATATTATTATCATTAATACCGACACCTGTCGTGTCGTTGTTATTGGAGTTGTTGTTGTTGTCCATCGATTCCGATACCGTTTGACTGATAATTGTTTTATCAATCGATTGATTGTCATCTATAATATTGATATCGTCATCGATTCGGACAATCGATTCATTACAAGTCCATTGGCTATTGGTTTCCGATTCGTCGACCAATATATCGGCCAAATATTTGTCTCTCACTGACAGAGCATTGATAAAATGTTTTGTTTGATTTGTCAGACATGCCATTAGTTTTCCGGTAGTTATTACATCACTAGTGAATTAAAAAAAAACAAAAATCATTTAATCAATGAATTAATGTAAACTTTTTTTTTAAAAAAAATAAAAATAAGTTAATACTTGTTGTTGTATTTGTTAGCAGAGATGATGGCATCGGTTATGGCTTTAGTTTGTTCGGTAAAACAGTCTCTTATTGTGTCCGATAAAGTGGTCGTTAATTCAGTCATCTTTGCAGACAATAAATCGCTGATAATTTTTAAAAATTTAATTAATATAATAAGTAAATAACATTTTTTTGTAAAAAATAGATAAAATACTTATTGGCTGTAATGACAGCATCAGTGATAACATCAGCGGATTGATTGGAAACACTTTGTCCGCTATTAGCCATTGATAACAGTGTTGTCATCTTTTCAAGGATTAGATCACTGGATGAAAAAAAATCATAGATAATACCAAACAAACAGAAAAAAATTATTAGTAATTAATTAAAATTTTTGAATTTAAACTATACTTTGATCGGTTGATAACTTCAGTCAAATATTTAACACTTTTTATCGATACGATGTTAATAACACTACGGCTATAATAACCATAAAACCAGACATAAGCTATGGGTTGGTCATCGGTTAGCTGGCGGTTGTCTTGCGGTTCATTGGTGTCCATATCCGACAAATACAATGACACGGTTTCCGTTTCAAACATATACTTTAGGGCCAACTGTTGTTTAAGTTGACCGACAGTCGGTGTTTGCGTCGGCAATATATTTAACGGTATAATTAGTGATTGTTGATTAGCATCCGATTTCTGAGTTTGTTTGAGTCCAGCCAACGACATATTAACCGTCACTTGAATGGGACGGATCTCAAACTGTATACTACCCGTCCTTTTCTGTTCGACGGTATAGTAGATATAATCAGCAAAATCAATAAACTGATCACAATTTAACCATTGATTCGTATCGTTTGACTGATTAGTGTTGCGTATCTCTAGACTAATATCTGTTTCGTTATATCCGTCGACACAAACATAGTATATATCCTTAACTCTGACCGGACCGGTGTGTCGACAAAACAGGTATTTAAAATCTGAATCACCGCTACTGTTGCTGTTGTTGTTGGGGTCGATCTGTTTGATATCAATCCGACAGTAATACTGACGGTTAACATCCTTTAGACAATTGTCACAACAGGACATAGTATTTGGTACGACATTAATCAAACTGTTCGCAATATTTGGGTAAAACCATGCATTTTCAATGGACATATCATCTAATAATTGACGTCTACTACGACTACTACTACTATCAGTCAAATACAATTTAGTCATCCGATAGCCGTATCTATTGGCTAACTCTTGTTTTAATTGGCCAATTGTTTTGGTATTTTTCGGTGATATACAATAATCCATAATAATGACCGATTGATTGGATGGTGCTATGGATGTTGAGACAGACATTTTGATAGTAATTGATTCAACTATTATCTCAAATCGACGACACTTATTACTGTTCCATTCAATTAAATCATTAGCTGAATAATAAGTATAATAATTAGTTGATGTATTAATTTCCCGTAAACTTAGATTCAGATTTTTGTCTGTACGGACATAACCGTTGACGGCCGCACCCAATAAGGTAAAGCCATATATTTGATTATAACACCTATTGCAACACTTGTATTCAAAATCATCTTCACTGGCTTCTGCATCGATTTGTTTGGTTATTATTTTATATATACAGTCTTTATCATAACCAGTAGTACAGCTACAACAAGCAGACATTGTATGTATAGATATGTTCAGACGTATGGGACGGGTATGTGTGTGATGTATGTGTTGTTTCCAATCGAGTAACAGTACTGTGTAATAATTTAAAAAAATTAAATTTAGATATTTTTTTTAGGTTATAACCAAGATTTTTGTAAATTTATAATTAAAAGTATATATATATACATAAATCAGGGTTAAGCAAGGTTTTGGATTTAGGAGGGAGTCTAGGCTGGAGTCAACTTGATAAATCTTTGGGAGGTCAAGGGTGGGGTATAGTTTTTTTCAGAAATCAAAGGGGCTAAGAGAAAATTCCCTAAAATATTTTTTAATTTCCGAATATTTCCATATAAATTCCATAAAATTGCTATAAGTTCCCGTATAAATTCTCAGGAAAATAGGTTAATTTTTCCATAATATAAATAATTTAAAAATTAATAAATTTTTTTTTATTTATTTATATTAAAATAATATTTTACTTAAAATTTAAAAATATTTGATTAAAGCGTACTATAACTACAACTAAACAAAAAAAAATAATTTATAAATAGTTATAGATTTCAATACCAATAGATTATAATAAGACACTACTATGATATACAGTATATATATATATATATATATATATATATATATATAAACATTGATGTAATATATATCGCATACCAGTGCTTATCAATACACTTTGAAAAATATTTATTTCATTATTATTTTTTTTAAGTCAAAGTACAGATACAGCCAACTAAAAACTATAATACATAATATCATACAATATATATATATACAGTATTATTAAAAACAAGTAATTTAAAACTTTGTTTAGTTATAACATTAAAGTTAAAAATTTCACAGATGGTTTGGGGGGAGGGGAGGGGGATTATAAACTGGGGATCAAAATATAAGGTCAATGTAATACCAAATAATACCGTATAGTATCAACCAATATATATATATATATATATATGTGTTAATTAATTTATTGTTTATATTTGTGTGATATTTATGCGAAACAATTTCGGTATATATATGTATATATGCGTATATATATATATATATATAATGTATATACAACACATTGGTTATAATACAGTAGTTTTTCAACAACAAAAAAAATACTTAGAATAGGATAATTCCTATCTACCGTTTCTCCCTCCCTTACCCCTCCCCCCTCACATACGCACACACACACATACACTAAATCCTAACCATCCTAAAAAGTAATAATAAAATTTATAATAAATTTAACGGTTTTAAGTGGTAACTTAAGTGTTCAAATATACAGTATATACTGTATATATATATATATATACTGTAAACATTTGTTACTGATTATCATATATATAGGGATAGAAAAAAATGTGTCTATATTTACACAAAAGATTATAACATATATAAGTAAAATAAAATAAAGATAACACACAAAAATTTTTAAATACTTTTATGCATCTCTCTCTCTCTATATATATATATAAATCATGTGATTATTTTGTTTTTAAAATTGATTTTTATTATTTTACAACTAATATATATTTTATATGAAAATTATTATTTTATATTTAAAATTTACAATATATTTAAGATTTCAGATTTAATTTTAGATATTTTTTTCAATTAAATATTTTCAATTTAAAACATATTATATATATATATATACTAGAGACAGACAAGAGAGAGAGAGAGAGAGAGAGAGAGAGCATATCTCTGAAGCAAATCGTCTCTCTCTCTCTCTCTCTCTCTCTCTCTCTCTCTCTCTCTCTCTCTCTCTCTCTCTCTCTCTCTCTCTCAATCACTTTCAATAGTATTTTTAGTTGAAATAATTCAATGGATATCTACTACCAGTATATATATATCCCAATGGATAGCCTTAAAAATGATTGTTGTTTTTCTGATTCATTTATTTTACTAATACTTGTTTTGTTTGTATATTTTTTCCCTATTATATTACATTTCAATCACAATTCAATATATATATTATATACTAAATAATGAAAAAATTCAATGAAAACAAAAAAACAAAATTTTCAAATAATATTAAATAATGATAATATATATATATATATAATAAGTATTTACAACAACTTTATTATTCAAAATAATAATAAAATAAATAAAAAAACAAAATGTTTGTTAAAAACAACTTAAAAAGTGTATTACATATATATACTACAGTAAAGTCAACCATTTATTGTGTTTGTTTTATTGTATTTATATAACACTTGTATTAATACAGTGTATACTGTACTTAATATAAGCAATATTTGATAATTATTTAATGATTTATGCATTTTTATATATACTAATAAATTATTTGTAGCTTAATTTAACAAACAAATTTGTTATATATATATATAATCTTATATTTATTTATTTTATATATACTATATATATATTATATTATTTACAGTATTAGAGGAATGCTATGTATAATACATTTTCTTAAACAATATTATAAATAAATAGATAATCTATAAATGTATTAATATAATTAACTATCAATTTATTTTTATGAAAAATATTATTAATTTCTTTTAATTACAGATATTTATCATTAGTTATTATAATATGAATATTACATTAACTTTTTTTTTGTAAAAAAAATTAGATATCATATATACTGTATAATAAAATTGAAATAAATATATATATATGTATAAATAAAATATATATATATATATTAAATTTAAATTATTATTAATAATACTAACCTTTTTTTCTAGACAACCACTAATCGGATGTATGGATAATAATGATAATAGTATTGTCTATTCAACTATATGTCTGTCCAATATATAACACACACACACAGTCACTAACAATTGATATGAATAACTAAATAAAAATATATATTTTTTATATAAATAAATAGTTGCTTTTTAAAGATTGCAATACCAATAATAATAATAATTTTTTGATAAACAAAAAAAATTGATGTAATATCTCAAACCAGTGCTTATCATACACTTTTGAAAATTGATATTTATTTCATTATTTATTTTTTTTAATAGTCAAAGTACAGACACACAGAGATAGCCAACTAAAAACTAATGGTATATAATATCACTGTATATATACTGTATTATTATAAAACTAAAAGTAATTTAAAACTTATGTTTTCAACGACAACAACAACAACAAAAAGTTTTAAAGTTAATGCAATTGATATCAATAGTTGAGTTAAATATTGAAGAAGTTTCTCATATGGTTTGGGAGGGAATTATAAACTGGACCCCAAAATATGAGTTCAATGTATACTATAGTACCGTATAAACTATATATATATATATTAATTAATTTATTGTTTTTATTTATGCGAAACAATTTCGGTATATATATATATATATACTGTATATACAGCCCATTGGTTATAATACAGTAGTTTTTCACAAATAGTTAAAATACTTAAAATAGGATAATTCCCATCTACCGTTCCTTCCTCCCTTACCCCTCCTCCCCCCTCACATACACACACACACTAAATCCTAACCATCCTAAAATGGTTAAATGGTTAAAAAGTAATAATAAAATTTGTAATAAATTTAACGGTTTTAAGTACAACTTAAGTGTTCAAATATACAGTATATACTGTATATATATATATTATAAATCCACCTAACAGTGGATAACCTATTAACGGACGGTTAAACTAAATAATTAAATATTTGTGTTATTTGTTAATCAATTGTTGTAATTAAGGGCTCATTAGAGAGCTATTGATGTGCCCTCTCATAAAAAATTATAAAATTAGTGAAAAAATTTGGCGCAAAAACACAATTGGATAACAACTACGACAACGTCTGGTCAACGCAATAGTGGACGCAATTTACGGTAAGTTTGTAATTAAATTATAATTAAATTAACAATATTTTTATTAATAATTAATTTTTTTCTTATAAAGTAATCACCAGTGAAGACATCAGTGGTGACAACAATGTCTACTAAAAAGGTAAGTGTTTTTAATTAATTTTTAAATCAATGGTTAACTGAATCCCCGTTTAACGGACGGACCACTTAACCAATGATTTAGATATTTTTAGACATAAATTATGTCCAAAAATATAATTTTTTTAATGTAATAAAAAATAATATATTTTTATTATAATATATACCGTATTAGTCCACATATATGTCCATATTTTATTTACACTTATAAATGATAATTACCGTAAAACCAACACATATTATGTGTTTTTTCAATTATAATGTGTTTATTAGAATAATACCGTATTACCAACACATATTATGTGTTTTTTTTAATTATAATGTGTTTATTAGATTAATACCGTAAAACCAACACATATTATGTGTTTTTTTTAATTATAATGTGTTTATTAGATTAATACCGTAAAACCAACACATATTATGTGTTTTTTAATTATAATGTGTTTATTAGATTAATACCGTATTACCAACACATATGTGTTTTTTCAATTATAATGTGTTTATTAGATTAATACCGTATTACCAACACATATTATGTGTTTTTTTAATTATAATGTGTTTATTAGATTAATACCGTAAAACCAACACATATTATGTGTTTTTTTAATTATAATGTGTTTATTAGATTAATACCGTAAAACCAACACATATGTGTTTTTTTAATTATAATGTGTTTATTAGATTAATACCGTATTACCAACACATATTATGTGTTTTTTCAATTATAATGTGTTTATTAGATTAATACCGTAAAACCAACACATATTATGTGTTTTTTTTAATTATAATGTGTTTATTAGATTAATACCGTATTACCAACACATATTATGTGTTTTTTCAATTATAATGTGTTTATTAGATTAATACCGTATTACCAACACATATTATGTGTTTTTTTTAATTATAATGTGTTTATTAGATTAATACCGTATTACCAACACATATTATGTGTTTTTTTTAATTATAATGTGTTTATTAGATTAATACCGTAAAACCAACACATATTATGTGTTTTTTTAATTATAATGTGTTTATTAGATTAATACCGTATTACCAACACATATTATGTGTTTTTTCAATTATAATGTGTTTATTAGATTAATACCGTATTACCAACACATATTATGTGTTTTTTTAATTATAATGTGTTTATTAGATTAATACCGTATTACCAACACATATTATGTGTTTTTTTTAATTATAATGTGTTTATTAGATTAATACTGTAAAACAAACACATATTATGTGTTTTTTCAATTATAATGTGTTTATTAGATTAATACCGTATTACCAACACATTATGTGTTTTTTCAATTATAATGTGTTTATTAGATTAATACCGTATTACCAACACATATTATGTGTTTTTTTAATTATAATGTGTTTATTAGATTAATACCGTATTACCAACACATATTATGTGTTTTTTCAATTATAATGTGTTTATTAGATTAATACCGTATTACCAACACATATGTGTTTTTTCAATTATAATGTGTTTATTAGATTAATACCGTATTACCAACACATATTATGTGTTTTTTCAATTATAATGTGTTTATTAGATTAAAACCGTATTGATAAGATATTTAACACATTTGTGATAATTAAAATTATAAAATAAATATATACACAAACAATTATAATATAAAACTACATATAAAATATTTCTAACTTACTAAATTAAATAGCGTAAAACATATGAAAACAACCAAAACATGATTGATGCTTTGGAACACAAGCGCCGAGATCCTAACATCTCTTTCGAGCGATTAGCTCATATGTATGATGTCGGCAAATCTGCTTTACATACGCGGTTTAGAGAACAGGTATATTATCAATAACCTGTTTATGAGTACTATACTTATGAGTTATATATTAGATTCCAGTTAACGCCAAACCCGGTAAATCGACAATATTGTCTAGTATTGCTGAACGAGAGTTAGTCGATTACTTGAAAACAATGGGAAATTGGGGATTTCCACTAAATGGTGATGAAATTCGTAGAATTGCTGGCGATTACTTAAGACAACTAAATCCTGAGTGTGCAGAACCAGGATCTCACTGGTTGACAAATTTTCTGACAAGACATAAGCTAAGTCTGTCCTGGCGAAAAGGACGAACAATTGATGTAATGCGGGCGGCAGTTTCAAGAGAAGTATTAGATGACTTCTATCAATTATTAGAAGATATATTTTCAGTAAGCTATATATATAGATGATTAGAGTTAACACTTACTAATAAAAATAATAGCGTGATGATGTAGATCAGGACCGCTTACCAAATTTACTCTGGAACTGTGATGAACTCGGAATGCGACCTGATAAGACTGATAAACGAGTTATTGCTCAACGGGGATCACGTCAGGTTCACATTACTACTGGCAAAACACCAAAGAGATACACAACAACTCTTGCATGTGTCAGCGCTGCTGGTGTTTATATGAAACCTTTGGTATTATATCGCGGCGATCGTGAACCAAAGCAAAATTCTGCTAAGGTTTCTTGGAATGGAGCTGTCTATACAGTCTCACACTCTGGTTGGATGACATCTGTCAATTTTGTAACATTTTTGACTAAAGTTTTCATTCCTGAGTCGGAACCTTACACCGAACCTAATGAGTATCGTTATTTGATTGTTGATGGACACACATCTCATTGTTCACTGGAAGCAATCAAAATTTGTGTCGACAACAAAATTAGATTAATTCGCTTACCGTCACATTCAACACATCTATTACAACCCTTAGATGTTGCTGTTTTTAAACCATTTCGAGATATATCCGAACGCGCAATTAAAGAGATATCACTTAATGTTCCTAAATCGGTAAATTAAATTAATTTTTTAAAACAATTTTCTACAGTAAATATATTTTATAGTTAACTGACACACAAATACCAAAACTTCTTGAAATTGTTTGGCCTCAACTTCAAAGTAGCTATGCTATTAATGGCTTCAGAGCATCTGGTAATATCTTTAATTAAATATATATTTTTAATAAATTATAAATTATTATGTTAGGTATATTTCCATTGAACCGCTTGGCTATTACTGATAGTCAAATTGCTACTTCTCTTCAATTCGACAATCAATTGTTGTCAACTGTTGATTCTTCTATGTTATCATTAAGTAACACTGAAACTGAAGTTTCATTTTTTGTCAATAAATTGAAAACACATATTAATACTACGTGTAATACTTTGATTCAAACTCGCCAACGTAATCGATTCGGTGTTGATTTGACAAATCTTCCAAGTAATCGTCCTAAGTATGTTAATATATTTAATATATATTTATTTATTTACTATTTATATGTATAATTTATTAATTATAGCCCCGATAAATGTACGAATTGTAATCTCCCATATTCACCATTTAATTTCATGAAAGAAGATGAAGATATGATTTTTTGCGAAGAGGATGGCTGTAACTCATGGTATCACATTGTTTGTGTTTTTGCTTTGAGATATCTTCACAAAGACGAAATCGCAGCTATTTCGCCCTGGATTTGTCATAAACATAATTAAATTATTATTATAACTTATTTAAATATTATATCTTTTTATATCACATAAATTGTTTATCGTAGAATACTTAATTTAGTATTTTTTAATTTTATTGTTTGTATAAGATGTTAAGAATATGTATAAAATATTTGATTTATAAAAATTAATATTAACTAATTTTTATAATGGTAAAATTATGTGAGGTATTACGGTATATTATTATAATAAATATTTTGTTTAATATAATAAAAAAATTATTTGTAATTATATTACTTAATTAAATAATTATTTTTAATATATAATTATTTAAAATTATAAAAAAATTAATATTAATAAATTTAATTATATGTAATTTTATAACTTTTATTATTTTATAATTAGCAACATTATTGATGCCCATTGTGTTTGGTATATATATTTTTATTAATATTAAGAAAAATTTATCCGTCCGTTAAATGGTTGATATATCATATATAATATACCAAAAGTTAAGTCATAAAATTAGATTTTCAAATAGTGTAAACATTTGTTACTGATTATATATAGAGGTATATAATTTATATATAATATATTTTTTAAAAATTATCAATTAATATTCAAAAATATTGATTTTTATTGTTTTATAACAAATATATATTTTATATCAAAATTATTATTTTCTATTTAAAATTTACAATATATTAGATTTCAGATTTATTTTTAAATATTTTATTTCAATTTACAACATATTATATAAATATTTTTTGCTATACTAGAGATAGATAGATAGATAGAGAGAGAGAGAGAGAGAAAGAGAGAGAGAGAGAGAGAGAGAGAGAGAGAGATCATTGAATCATTATTTTATAAAATTTTTTAAAACAAATATTTAATTACAATATAAACAATTATTTTCATATCATTATATTAAAAAATACTACATATTTAGAGAGAAAAGTAGACCAGTGATTGTTATAGACTTTTTTTTAAAAAAAATTAATAAAAATAAAATCGATGTATAATATAGTACTGTCTATATATATATATATATCGATATATATATATATATATATATATATATATATATGTTAATTAATTTATTGTTTAGTTTGTGTTTATATTATATTTATTTGAAAAAAATTCCGTATATACTATACAATCCATTTGGTTATATAGTGTACAGTAGTTATTCACAAAACAGTTTTTAAAATACTTTTAAAAATAATATGATATCTACCGTTCCTCCCACCCGTTTCTCCCTTCCCTCACACACACACACACACACACACACACACACTAAATCCTAACCATCCAGACACCCATCCCATACCAAACCTAACCTAAAAAGTAATAATAATAATAATAAAATAGTACTATATTTTTAATAAATTTTTACACTGTTTAAGGTTTTTGGATAAGTGTTAAAACTTTTTACAGCTAACTATAGTATATTACAAACAACGTGTTCAAATATACAGTATATATATAATTAATTTAACAATTAATTTACAAAAATTTTGATTTTTATTGATTTTCTGCAAATATATATATATACAGTATATTGATATCAAAATTATAATTTGAAATTTACAATATATTAGTTTACAGGTTTAATTTTTTTTTTGGATATTTTATTTCAATTTACATTCAAATATATGATATTATTTTTGTTATACCAGAGACAGACAAAGAGAGAGAGAGAAAGAGAGAGAGAGAGAGAGAGAGAGAGAGAGAGAGAGTTAGAGAGAGAGTTAGAGAGAGAGAATTAGAGAGAGAATTAGAGAGAGAGAGAGAGAGAGAGAGAGAGTTTGAGAGAGTTAGAGAGAGAGAGAGAGAGAGAGAGAGGAGAGAGTGAGAGAGAGAGAGAGAGAGAGAGAGAGAGAGAGTGAGAGAGAGATAGAGAGTGAGAGAGAGAGAGAGAGAGAGAGAGAGAGCATTGAATCATTTTATATAAAAAAAATTTAAAACAAATATTTAATTACAAATATAATAAACAGTAATTGTTTTTAAAAAATATCAAATATACATGTGTAGAGTATTTAAAATTAATATTTAAAAAAATAAAATAAAATAATAAACTAAAATAACTTAAAATACAGTAAGAACTACTAATAAGTCAAACACAATGATCACAAAATCAATGCTAAATTAAAACTAAATTATTATAAATATCATTATTATTATTATATTAAGTTTTTTTTTAAAAAAAATAAAAAAGTTGAATCAAATAAAAATCAAACAAATAATATAATAAACAAAAATTATTAATATTAGTATTAGTTAAGCAAACAGTTGGTATGGATTTTATAATTCAAATGAAGGGGTGATACGAGTCATCCGATCGGATGTCAAACATATGGCCAACAAATCGCGCAAACGATTTATATTTTTTTTCCGGGATGTGCTATAACTGCTACCGAATGGTTGGCTATACGGGGTCTTAATGAATGGCCAACGCATCGGTTCGTTGGGCGTACAACTGGACCAATGAGTTCGCGGCGGCCGCCGCCGCCGATACCGGTAGTCATTGACTGGTCATCATTTCCGCCGCCGCCGCCTCTGTTGTCGTTATCATCGGCCACTTCATCGTCAATATTATGATCGCCGTTGTTGTTGCTGTTGTCCATCGGTTGACCACTTTGTTATCAAATCCATTTGGATGTCAAAAATGGCCAACAAATCGCGGAAAATCTTCGGCGGCCGACGAATTGAATGCCGACGACATATCTAAATGGTCGCCCGCTTTGGTCAGTACACTGTCGGCCTCTTTCTATTGTATATAAACATTAAAAATATTTACCCATAATTTAAATATATAGACTATAAACTATATAAACTATTTAAAACGGGTTATTTGACTTACGGGGCCATCCATTCACTGGGAAGGTTCCGACTTCCCATTGGCCACAACTTTGTCCATAATCTAAATCAAACGGTAATCAAAAACAACAATAAAAACTATTAATACCACATAAAATACATGTGTGAAACAATTTATAACAATTATTATCTTTTTTTAAAAAAAAAAAACTACAGTACCTCCGGAAGCGGTGGACAATGGCTTATAACTCGTCCATACAATAGTCCTGCAAAATAGTCGATCAATACGTCCACCAAATAGTGTGGCCGTAATCGGCATTAAAGTTTCTCATCTCATCTTTCGGTATATCAAAACAATTGATCAAAACAATTGACAAATCAGTTAAATAATCAATTTTTTTGTTGTGTCGACAAATGCCCTTCAGATTGATTGATATATACTTAAAAACATTCGATTCAAAAAACTTTCCGTAGTCTTCATCGTCGGTAAAGTCGACTAAAATTGATTTTTTTTTGTTTGGGATTTTCTCTTAATTTCATATAAAAAAAAAATCGTCAAACTCTACGGACATCGGGTCTCATTCGGATGTTTTTCGGACGCATATAAAACTCGAAAAACTCGTTCGGTCCGGACATGACCTCCAATTCCGACTGTCTGTGCGACACCAGTACCCGAACCAATCATTATGATCGGTGTCGACACTGTTGCCGGTAATTTCAAGTATAGATTCTTGCGTTTAAATACTTTAAGACACCTCAGGTCCGATTCGAGCGATAGTTTTGTCAATTGATCGGCAATATCGCCGCCACCGCCGCCATCGATATCAACGGTACTTGACTTTTGCCGCCGATTAAAAAGTCTCGACAACTGTCCAGTAAATACACCAAATAGTTGACTGTCTTTACGCTGATTTCTTGGCTGGAATTCGGTTACAGAAAATGCTATTTTGAATTGATTACGATTTTCAGGATCCGGTCCATTGCAGACACTGTAATAGCGTGGTGTATGACAAGCAATATTGGCCAACAATACCGCTAACGGTGGTCGACACGAGTCGAATAGACGAAGAATATCCAAAATGTTGACAAAATTATTTCGTATGTATTTGTTATAGTCATCGGAACCTTCGCGACTACTCAGCTCAAGAAGTCGTCTTTTGTGAGCCAAATCACTACAGAAATCGGCTAAATGTCTGAGAAATGACTTCTTTGGTACAGATCTTAGTTCTAAATAGTATTTTAAGAGATCCTTGACTTTACTAATTGATGGTAAATGTGGAAACAGTTCGGTGGTTAGTATTTGGCAATAATAGTCACGTTTGTCGGATTGAAGATCAAAACAATAGTCGATTAGTTGATCCACTTCTTCATCATAGTTGCCAATAATAAAACCGAACGAATCGCCCGCTTCATAGGTGATGATGACATCACTGCTATTATCGTCTAATCTAACGGTTGCCTCAAGTATTGTCTTGTAATCAGTGACTACATCACTGTCATTATCATCATTACTGGCCGACAATTGTCTCATTGAAACAATTGTTGAATCAGTTATCTGTGAGTCCATGACTGGCAACGATGGAAATGGAAACTCTTTTGGCTGATATTTTTCGGCAAATTCTTCGGGAAGTGTTTCCCAAAGTTTGACTTGAAATGCCAACGATTTACTCGATATCAACGGTAGTGTTAGTTCGGTTAGTTGTGACAAATTCGGGTCTTCGGTGACCATTATCGGTAAGTTCTCAGTGGTAGACATATTGCCAGACACTTGATCCACGACCACTGGTAAGACTTTGACCTCGACGGTAGGTATCGAGACAGTGGTGTAGGCGTTAAAATGTTTGAGTAGTGCACCGAATAGGTTGTCAATCCAGGGTTCGACTCCCAGTTCAAGACCGACGGCGTCGTCAACGAAACCCGTGTCGTAAAAACGTTTGGCCGACAATTGATGCAAACGTTTGTCTTATTATTTTTGGAGATCAGATAAAACTTATTATTAATCACAACAACAACAGATAAAGACATTAAAAGTAAGACATAAGAAGTTAGTCATCAGATATCTTCCGACGACAACAACAACAAGAAAAAGATGTCTTAAAATAAAAGTAAAGTTTTTTTGGGAACAACTTCTCTACAAAAACTACAACAACAGATAAAAAAGACTTTAAAAGTAAGACATAAGAAGTTAGTCATCAGATATCTACCGACGATAACAACAACAAGAAAAATATGTCTTAAAAATAAAAGTAAAGTTTTTTTTGGGAACAACTTCTCTACAAAAACTACAACAACAGATAAAAAAAGACTTTAAAAGTAAGACATAAGTAGTTAGTCATCAGATATCTTCCGACGACAACAACAACAAGAAAAATATGTCTTAAAAATAAAAGTAAAGTTTTTGGGAACAACTTCTCTACAAAAAACAAAACAAGAGATTAAAAAAAAAACCAAAATCTTTGCCAAAATTGGCAAATCGTTCGTAGTTTGTGTCGCCCAACGCCAACACCGTATAGGATAAGTGGGCGAGTAGTCCGCGCGGGTGAGTCCGTCGCCGGTATCGCCTAAAAAATTTGACCGCTTGTTCGGGCGGTTCGCCTTCGCCAGTAGTGGACACTACAAATATGACTGTATGTTCCGTTTCCAATTGAAACTGATTGCCGTCACCGTTGCCGACGTCATCGATGGCCGATAGCGGTAGTCGGTCAACACCGATACCACCGAATTGGCCGTCCTGTTCGCGCAGTACTTCCAGTTGATGGCCTCGGGCTAAGTGGTCGTAGATTTCCTCCGAGATAGCCTGGGACTGGCCAGTCTGCGAGCCGTACAAGGGCGGAAGTTCGGTATATGGTATATTTAATTATCATTAACATATAGAAAACTTATGGTCCTATTATACATTTATAAACCTATACTATATTTATAGCCATAAAAAGGACTTAAAAAAAATAAATTAATGTGTGTTTTGAACAGGGTTTTAAAAATGGCAGGCATAAACAATAGATGCCTATTTTGCCAAATGCCTGCCGTGCCTCTGCCATGCCCTGGGCATCTATTTTAAGGTGGTGACACCTACTATTTTAATTTTATATTATTAATTTATCACAATTTGTTTTATCGATATTTGTTTGTATTTTTGTTTTGTATATCTTTACTTAAAAGGTAATATCATTGGAAATAATTATATTAATTGTAAATTTAATTAACAAGCAATTTATTTATAAATATAAATATCAATAGGCAACTGTATTTATAAAAATAATGTAATTTACTGTTTTTAGCTTGTTAATTAATTTACAATTAATATAATTATTTCCAATGATATTACCTTTTAAGTAAAGATATACAAAACAAAAATACAAACAAATATCGATAAAACAATGTTTTATAGATAAATTAATAATATAAAATTAAAATAGTAGGTGTCACCACCTTAAAATAGATGCCCAGGGCATGGCAGAGGCACGGCAGGCATTTGGCAAAATAGGCATCTATTGTTTATGCCTGCCATTTTTAAAACCCTGTTCAAAACACACATTACTTTATTAACAGTTAATTTTTTTTAGTCCTTTTTATGGCTATAAATATAGTATAGGTTTATAAATGTATAATAGGACCATAAGTTTTCTATATGTTAATGATAATTAAATATTTTTTTTATTGCAAATCAAAAGTTATGTAACATTTCATCAGATTTTTAAAAAAATAAATGTTTTTTTAATATACATATTGATTAATCAGGGTATTAATGATATTAAATTAATTTAATATGATATTAACAGTTTAATAATGAATTTAAAATATATTTATAAATAATTATTATTAAATATTTTTTACAAATATAAATTTTTTAAATTAAAAAAATTAAAGAAATTAAAAAAAAAATTAAATTATAATTTTGTCAAATTGTTTAAAATACAATACAATTATTGTAATTTCAATGCTTTTTCTGGCATATCCTAGAAATATATTTAAACAAAAAAAATTATTTTATAATTTAAGTAAATTATAATATTATATATTAAAGTAATTTGAAAAAATGTATTATTATATTAAATATTATTTAATTAAATTAATTCTCTCATTATCTCTCTCTCTCTCTCTCTCTCTCTCTCTCTCTCTCTCTCTCTCTCTCTCTCTCTCTTTCTCTCTGATATCAATTTATACTAATAATGTTTTTTTTATAAAATTATTTATTTTTAAATTGAATAATAAATAATTATTAAGTTTAATAATAAATTTTAAATATATTTATAAATAATTATTATTAAATATTTACTAAAAAGTATATTATAATTTTATGTTATTTAATGTTTTAAATACAAAAGTATTATTGAATATTGAATATTGTTTTTATCAGAATATACTAGAAATAGAGTTGAAAAAATAATTTTAAAATTTAACCTAAAAATAATATGATATAACACACACATACACACAAACATACACACAAACATACACACACATATAGACATATACACACACTTAGACATACATACATACACACACATACATACATACACACACACACACAAACATACACACACATATAGACATATACACACACTTAGACATACATACATACACACACATACATACATACATACACACACATACATACATACACACACACACACAAACATACACACACATACATACATACACACACACACAACATACACACACATACATACATACATACACATACATACATACACACACACACACACACAAACATACACACACATACAGACATACAATATGCTCTAAATAGAAAATTTTGCAGGAAATTTCAAAATTAAAAAAAAAACAAATTTATTAAAAATTTTACTTTAGTAGAATGTAATTGTTTTAAATTTTATGCCAAAAACTTTCATTACACAGTCCTAGCAACAAAAATAAAATAAAAATAAAATTAATATATTTATATATAAAAAAAATTTGTAATTATTTGTATAATATTTGATATATAATAATAATAATAATAATAATAATAATAATAATAATAATAATAATAATAATATAATAATAAATAACATAATTAATCAAAAACTTAACTCTAAGATCATTATATTTTGTTGTATTAATTAATCCATTTTTGATTTCATTTTTATAATCTTTGGTTAGTTTTTCGTTGGATTCTATATTTTCAATTATTTTCGAATGATGACAATATTCATATGTTTGACTACAATATAATAATAATTGTTTTGCAACATTTTTATCGGTTTGCAAATCAACTATCGATTGATTATATTTAGTCAATTGAGATTGGCTTTCATCATCATATAAACAATCGTCAGTTAATTGATTAAGCTAATTTTTTAATTTTTTTTTTTGAAAAAATAAACCAATTAATTAATTATTATTTATATTTGTATATAATAATAATAAAATAATGTACGTGTTTGCCTGTATAGAAACAAACACGTATAGAATATATACAAAAAAAATCTAAATATATACAGTTGATGCCACTTAAAAAATGTTTTAATTTGTATTATATTCTATTGTTATTGTTATTTAATTGATTCTAATTAATATTTATATCAATAATATATGTTATTGTTTTTAGCAAGTTACTTTATATATATATATATATAACTTATTTAATATTATTAGGTAACAGGTATAGAGTATTTGAATATGGTAAAGGTTAGGCTATGTATACACTATATTAGTAAAAACTTTAAAATTTTAATTTGGCATAATATTAAATATATACTTTTTCAATTTGTAACTTCCAATTCGGTGGATGTTGTGGTTGAATAATCATTTCTGGTTTACAATTTCTTAAAGCATTTATTATGTTTGTATTGACATTATCCGGTGAATTACATAGTTGTTGTTGAATAATATTGTTATACAGATATTCTTGTTCTTTAACTAATTTACCTTGATAATCTGGCCAATCTGTTAAACCCAATGATAATTTTTCACATTCCTAGTAGAAATCAAAATTAAGATCATATAAAAAAAATCATATTAAAATCTACGTTGTTTAATCTATATAAATATTATTTTAAATATTAGTTAATACATTCAAGTTGTACATATTATATGAACAGTGAGTGTAGCAGTGAAATACATTATTAATAGTAATAGTAATAGTAATAGTAATAGTAATAGACACACACACACACATAAACATATATATCATAGTATAAATTACATACTAAATCTTTAAATTTTTTAGGTAGTACTCCATGTTTTCCCTCATGTTTTTCAATATCCAATTCCATTACTAACTGTTTATTATTATTCAGAAATGCCATCATTTTTTCATCCACACACTGTTGATATACATGTCCAACACAATAACTGAGCATGATAAATTTACTAACTGGATCACTTAGGTTTACATGATTATAGTTAACTAGTCTACTATCCAGTCCTATAGAACATTCAGTTTTAATTTCTAACTCCTGTTTGTTATTCAAAATAAATTATTATTAATTAAAAATATAAATTTATATAATAATTATTATATCAACAATATATTTATATATATATAGACTTACTTTTGCTTCCAGTTTTAATAAGTTTGTAGTTTTATTTTGTTGCGGACCTAACTTTGGACGACTACATGACATAAAATTGTTGAGTATCTGACTATTGATAGTACTATTAGGCGAACAAATTTGTTTCGATAAAAAACTTTTGTGTTCATCAGTCCATCGTTTCTCTAATTGTTGTACTTTTGATTGAAAGATTGATAACTGTTGTCCATCTGATTGTGACTGTTGTTGTTGGGGTTGTTGTGGGTTTGAAAGTGTGGGTTGTATTTGTTGTTGGGGTAGTTGTTGTTGTTGTTGTTGTCCATAGACAACAATAGTAATACAACTACTGGCTACTAGTAAAACATTTACTAAGTTAACTAGTAACATTTTATTGTTGTTAACTATTTTTGTTTAGTACTATACTTGTATTTATAATTATATTCAATAACTACAATTTTTTTAAAATAATTTTTATTACTTTTCTATTTAAACTCTAACTTATAACTAAACTATATTTTTTAAAAAATAAAAGCAATCAATTATAATTTGAGTTTACAAAAATATGGTTTAAAATTAATTAAAAATTATATAATAATTTTTTTTTAAATTTAATTATAGAATAATTTTAATTTTAACTTTAATATATTTAATTTTTTCTACTATTTTTCTTTACTACTATACTTGTACTACAATTTACTATAATTTTTATTACTCTTCTAATTAAACTAACTTATAACTAAAATATATTTTTTTAAAAATAAAATCAATCAATAATTATTTGAATTTACAAAAATATGGTTTATAGTTAATTAAAAATTATGTTAAAATTTAATTATAATTAATTTTATTTACTGTATATAACTTTTCATTATAGAATAATAATAAAAATTAATAGTTTGACATATAATTATAATTTAATAGTATTTATCTATAATTACTAAATAATTTATAATAATAGAATTTAAAAAAAATATTTATTTAGAATTAATAATTAGTACAATAGATTTAATAGAATAACATTTAAATCTTAAATAAACTATTTAATTAAAAAATAGTTAAATAATTTTGTTGACAGAAAATATCAACTTTAAGTTAGTATATGTACTTATGATTTATTTGTATTAAGTTTATTGGTTATAATTAAAATAACAAAATTATTACATAATTTTAATTAAATATATACCATATTTTCTAATAACAAATAATTATTTTTTCAATAAAATAGTTTATTTAAGATTTAAATATTATTGTATTAAATCTATTGTACTAATTATATAATGTAAATAATTTTTTAAATACTAATCTTTTAAATTATTTAGTAATTGTTCATAAATGCTATTAATTATAATTATATATTAAACTATTAATTTTATTATTATATCATATAATGATGAGTTAGATACAGAAAATAAAACAACATATAAAATTAGTTATAATTAAAATAACAAAATTATTATATAATTTTAATTAACTATACACCATATTTTTTTAAACTCAAATAATTATTAATTGCGTATAAATTTTAAAAAAATATAATACAATAAAATGTTTATATATTTCTAATTTTTATTATTATTATTATTTATTATTTTCTTGATAGGACTGCGAAATGAAAGTTCTTGGTATGTGTATGTGTATGTGTATGTGTATGTGTATGTGTGTATGTGTATGTGTATGTGTGTATGTGTATGTGTATGTGTATGTGTATGTGTATGTGTATGTGTATGTGTATGTGTATGTGTATGTGTATGTGTATGTGTATGTGTATGTGTATGTGTATGTGTATGTGTATGTGTATGTGTATGTGTATGTGTATGTGTATGTGTGTATGTGTATGTGTATGTGTGTGTGTATGTGTATGTGTATGTGTATGTGTATGTGTATGTGTATGTGTATGTGTATGTGTATGTGTATGTGTATGTGTATGTGTATGTGTATGTGTATGTGTATGTGTATGTGTATGTGTATGTGTATGTGTATGTGTATGTGTATGTGTATGTGTATGTGTATGTGTATGTGTATGTGTATGTGTATGTGTATGTGTATGTGTATGTGTATGTGTATGTGTATGTGTATGTGTATGTGTATGTGTATGTGTATGTGTATGTGTATGTGTATGTGTATGTGTATGTGTATGTGTATGTGTATGTGTATGTGTATGTGTATGTGTATGTGTATGTGCATGTGTAAATATGTAAATGTGTGGGCATTTAAAAATAAATTGTTTTATTATAATTTATAAGTAAAAGTTTTTTATATAAACATTACAATTTTAGCATTGCACAACAATATGGTCACATAAAAATCATTACATATTATAATGGTAATATCATATTATAAATTAATAATACTAATTTTTATACAGTAATTTTTTAACTTTTAACTATAAACTTTTTATTTATAATGATATATCAATAAATAAAAAGCAGGTTTCTGTCAAAAAAAATGTTTTTGTAATAAAATAAAAACTAAACTTTTTTAATACCTGTAGTATAGCATAACATATTGATAATACTAATGTATTAGTACAATATTATGGTATCATGGTTGCTAAAATGGGGGTAGGGGTCAAGGCCTATTACCCCTTTTTGGCTTTTACACCCTATCCTGAAGCCAAAAATATAGGTGGCTCCCTACCCTGGCTTACACAATAGCTTAATAGCAATAAATATGATAACGTAATTTAAGAGTAGTGTCAAAAAAGTTGACCAAATATTTAATTACCATAGATATCAAATGTAAACTAATGTCAAGTAGTAGTACAGGACCTCTAGTATTACCCATAATACTAAAATGAGGATCTCTAGCGCTATTTTTTTCTCAATTGATTGAATTATTATTTTATATATATATATCTTAATTTGTATTTATCAGATTTTATAATAATTACTATTAACTTAATTTAGTTAAATAAAATTCATCTATTAAAATTTTATATTAAATTTAAAAAAATTAATAGCTTATGTATAGAAAATAACTAAATAAAAATATTATTTAACATTATTTACATTAAATAATATTATAATATATGTAAAAAAGTAATTACTGTATTATATCTAAACATAAAAAATAATTATTTATTTATTAATTGACAAAAAATGTGCTTTAAAAATAGTTAAAATTAGTTATTTAAGGTTTAATATGAAATACTATATAAAGATATATTCTTTAAATACTTATTTAGAGTTAATTAGTAATTATTTCTTACATTTTTATAATTATAAGTCGTTATATTAAATACAATACTATAATTACATTTTTAATTAATTATAATAAATATTTATATAAATTTATTCGCTATTCAAAGTTTTTTTTGTAAAAATAAATATTAATTTTAGAAAACTTTTTGAGTATTGATAAATTAAGTTATAAATATTTTTATTAGTTAATTTATATATAATTTAGTGGGAATATATTGATAATTTATAGGGTATATTGTGGGAATTTAGTTTGAATTTAGTAGAAATTTATTAGGAATTTAGTGGGAATTTAGTAGGAATTTAGTGGGAATTTACTCACATTTGGCAAAAATTGTCGTTTAAAAATGCAATAAAAATGTCACCCCTATACCTCCTCATGCTTTTTTAGAAATATCTGCCATTTTACCCCACCCCCCCCTATACTCCCCTGAAATCGAAAACTTTTAGCAATCCTGATTGTTATATAAATTGCAAATAATATTTTCAAAAAATAAAATTTATAATCATTGCAACAGTTATTGTATTGCTATTGTTTTAAGCGATTGATAACAACAATAGTGGTCACTACCCGACAACCATAACAACCATAATATCGTGGATGAAGCGGCTGATGATTACTGCGGCGGCAATGATGATGATGACCAGTCATCGATTACCGGCAACGGTGGCGGCGATCCAAAAACAAAGTTGTACGCCTAATGAACCGATGAACTGGTTATTATTATTATTATTATTATTAAGACCCGTATCGGCCAACCACTCGGTAGCCGTTATATTACATGCCATGTTTGACATCCGATCCGATTGATTGAACAGTAAGGACACGTATTTTTTACGTACAAAAGATTTTTTTTTTTGAAACAACTTTATATAAGTATTGTTTACTGTATTGCAGTCATTATAATCATTTGGATAATATTTACCGATTGATAACATTGTGGTCACCGGACGAACAATAGCAACGTTAACCTTAATATTGACTATGAAGTGGCCGATAACGGTGAAGAAAACAGCTGCGACACTGATGACCAGTGTCAATGACTACCGGTAACAGTGTTGGCGGTGGCCCTAAATTGTTGATCCAGTTGTACGACCAACAAACCGATTTATTGGTCATTATTAAAACACGTATCACCAATCATTCGGTAGCTGTTATAACAATCGGCTGAGAGGACAACAACAACGGCGATCATAATATCGATGATGAAGTGGCCGATGATGACGACAACAGCGGTAGCGGCGGCAATGATGACCAGTCAATGACTACCGGTAGCGGCTTTCAAGTACTGTATGTAAACATTGTATACACAGTATTACAGTATATATACTATATTGCAGTCATTATAATCATTTTGGATAATAATATTTATCTACCGATTGATAACAAAGTGGTCACCCGATGGACAACAACAACAACGGCGATCATAATATCATTGACGATGAAGTGGCCGATGATGACGACAACAGCAGCGGCGGCGTAAATGATGACCAGTCAATGACTACCGGTAGCGGCGGCCGCGAAGTCATTGGTCCAGTTTTACGCCCAACGAACCGATGTGCTGGCCATTCATTAAGACCCGTATAGCCAATCATTCGGTAGCCGTTATAACACATCCGCAAATCAATATGAATCGACTGAGAGATTTGTTGGCCATATGTTTGACATCCGATCCGATGACAAACAGTACGGATTGGTATTTTTTCCATACAAAAGTTGGTCGCATTGTCAGCCGCCGAAGTATTCAATGATATTCTGCCGAACTATAGGGTTAAGGAAAAGATTAACGAAGAAGAAGACGAGAAGAATGCCCGACGAAAAAACTTTCAACTGAAGAAAGAGACGAAACGTTTGCGCGAATACGAGAAGACTTTGATCCAATTGTATCGTTTGTTTTTGAATCGCTTGAACCGTATGGTCGATGCCGTACGCTATCGGCCGAAAAAATCCCATAAGATGTCGGCCCAGAAATCGGATTTCTATGACCAGATGGGTGTCAGCGATCGGGCGAAACAACGTTTGACTATCATTGGTGTTAAATGTTTGTCACAATTGGTGTTAACACATCTGCACTTCAATTTTCGTCAACAAATTGTCGAAACTTTAGTACAATCGAAACATATTAAATATTTTAGTAAAACTTAAACTTAAAAATTTTAGTATTATTATATTAGTATAGTATATTATATTAGTATAGTATATTAGTATAGTATATTAGTATAGTATAGAATAGTATATTAGTATAGTATAGTATAGTATATTAGTATATAAGTATATAATAGTATTATATTAGTATTTTATA